ACATACTGGATGCTCAAGTTTCGCAGATGACACGTCACTGGTTACTACATCCGCACAACACTAAAGTCTGGGAAAGAGTAATAAGTTGACAACTATATTTAATTGTAACAAAAATACCCGAATGAACATGGCGCGGGTCGTGTAAATAAGGTTATTAATTGTCACCTTAATTTTGTTTTGTTCCCCGAGAGTTCACCAAACTCCGAGTTATTTTTACTATACATGCCAAATAATCCGATTCTTCCGTATTCTAGTAATGATCTGTATATAATCTAATCATATAACAACCCAATATGGTGTGACTTAAACCGCGAGCCGATCTTGGCGTTTCATTGCTATAGTTATAACATGCCTCACTGGAGAGCGGGTGGTACATGTAGATGAAATAAATGCATAAATAATAACAGAATATAACAAAATGATTGAAAAAATATCAATCGAAATTGTGTCATCGCTTTTTATATCTAAATTATGTGAATAATCTTTGTAAATCCGATTATTTTAGTAATTCCACTTGTGCTAGAGTTATAAAATAATAATACGATTAACAATCAAAACAAATCATTATTTTTGTATTGGAAATAACGTATGTGCATATGAGTTGAGTGACGTATTTGAAAGATATGTGTAAACTATACATATTACAAAACACGAATATCACACTTCGTGTGGACATCTTTATTTCAAAATGCGGTGGACAAACTGTTCATTCTATTACAAAACCAACATACGGCTGCAGAACAAAGCAAAATAATGAATGAAGAGATGGTTGGAGAGAATAATAAAACAACTTGCTAAGGTGCAAAAATTGCGTATTTGTTTACGTTCAGAATTCCGCCTTCTTGAAAAAAAAGTGGCGCAACCAGGTGGACTAAATCGATATCGCACCGTCAACGACTCTGGACGTTTCAACATATTCAAATCTTAACCGATCTGACTCGATCCCGGTTAAATCTTTATATTCATAGTTTTAGGGTCACTGAGTACACTGCTACAATTATTCATGGTGTGTTGAGATGTAATAAGAAAGTTTAGGTGGCTCAAGTCGGGCAGTGTGCGATGGGTTTAAACTCACCACGTTCAAGTTCATCTTTTCATGTGGTGTAAGTGCACAAGCAAACAAATAAGTAAAGATAAGCTTTATATCTTAGCCAGGTGCTATCCTTTCTCACAAAACTACAAGATTCAGAAAATAAAATATACATAACTGCTTACAGTGTCTAGATAATTAACAAAAATAGGAAATGATCTGGCTGTACAGATAATGAACCTCGCGGGGGTAATGGTGCAGCATTATGCCCGTGGCTGAGTGGTAGGCTAGTTGGTGCTGTATGCGAACATCGGTTCGAACCACGCACGCTGTACATGTTTCCATAGCATTTACGATGCCGTGTATTCGGCGATATAACCTAACCATTTATTACATAGCATTGTAGTTTGAATATCAATTCTAAAAATAGATGATAAACTACCAAAAAACGTTTCCAGAGGTGATTAGATATCTTTTTTCACATATTTTGCTTTTAATTTCTGTAATATACATGATTTTGGCCAGTCAGTAATATCTGGGACGAATATTTTACTACACACATCTTCGGTCTCGTCGTAAACTATGTGCATTTACCGGGGTACTGTGGACGAGTGAATCATCTTCGGAGACTTTTCTATACAAGAAATGCAATTACTACGGTATAACTGTACAATCAATTGAATGAGTTGAACTATGTGAGCACACCAAGTGACGGTTTAGTAGAAAATGAGTAACAAACATAGTACAATCATATCAAAGAGTTATTGTTGAAATTGTACAAATACTCAAATCGCAGGAACCAACAATTTCTGCCTACGGAATCATTCATCTTCTATAGTAGATACTAGTGTATAGTTTAAAATTCTTAAGCGCATAGAAAAGCATATGTTACTGCTAGTTGATGCATCTAACTAAAAGTCAGAGTTTCAATATGTCTTTCATTCTAACGGGGCACATGTTTTCACAATCCAAGATAGTCGTTTAGTAGACTGTAGTTTTGTTATTTCGTACACATGGAATTCCTGTTGGACATATTTCATTGGCGTGTATGTACAGCTGCGTGGATAAAAATAAATATAATTACATCATGCCGGAATGGATTACATAATGTCGTTACTTATATGAGGTTTCAACTTACATTTATTTCCTACTAAGTGTATATGTTTTTTTTGTTTTTTTTATGAAGACGTTGCTTTTTTGTAATGTTATGTGTTAGCCAAATAACGAACTAACACAGAGCCCATTATTATGTGAAAACAGGATAAGGACGACGATATGCCTAATAATTGGCGAGACGGAATGGAACTTATTATGTTAACCAGCATCGTCATCCGGGTTCTTTATCCATTTATAATATCGTGAAATTCGGAAAATGTAGAATATATGCGCATGCGTGCACTAGAAAAGAACATCTTGGTTATCGCATCACAGTCGTTTTCATTTAAGTAATGCGTATTACGTCCATTGCTAAAACACGCTCATCTGTAAATTTGGAAATTAGAATGACCAGTATTTCTTAACGTAAAATAATTGTAGTGGAGATGTTGTCTAAATAAGGATCGTTAACCATGAATAGTTCTTTTGTTTGTGCATCGATCTTAAGGAATTGTTTTAATAAGTCATTTTCTAATAATGTGGCTGCACGTTTGGGGCGTGCAACAAAGTGATATAACTTACAGTACAAAGCAATAACATTATATAATATCAGAGCAGGTAAATTATACCATTGTCCATAACACGCTGATACAAAGTGCATTGTGTTACTGTCATTCACAAACGTTTTATCGCCTCATAATTTTTCAGATGTATTTTAACGTATTTTTTTGTTTTATGAATATTTATAAATTTCATAATTCAAACTGAATAGGTTTATGTTGGCTGATGAAATAACATTGAAACATTTCGAAAAGACATCGTAGATTGCTGCGCTTTGGTATTGACTGGTAAGATTCAACTGCTTGTAAAATCTATAAATACTTTTAAAAATTAATGAAATGTGTGTGCTATGTTGACAGTAATACAATTGTATACTTTTAATTGGTATATGTGATCGCACATGTTAGAGTATCTGAGACTAAAGCGTCAGATGGTTAGAAGTGTTATTATCCAGATAAAATATGCTGATTTATGTTGTTTAACTGTTCCTTCTTTCTATCCAGAATATATGATTATGCAAATTCGATATTACGTCACTAGATATGTACGTATTGATAACGAAATATGTCAGTTTGATATTCCGTGTACATTCTTTTAATATTTCAAGGGAGAACGACAGAAAAACAGGTTGATTAACTTTTTTTCTGTTTTGTCAAAAACGTCAGTGCGTCACAAATAAACACATGCTCTATCCGGTTATCCATCATTCGATACACGGGCAAATAAATAGAATTGGTTCAACCTTAAAAAATAAATAATTATATTATTATTAAATCACTACCGCCGAGGTTTGTTATATTTTGACGTAGTATCAAACGATACTATAAACGTTGGCGGTGTAACATCTGAAACTGGTCAAAAGCTACTCTATTCAACCATTGAGAGCATCTGATTTTCAAATAACCGCAACACCATTATGTTATCATTCAAAGACGGGTTTGCAGTTATATAAAACCTGCGATACAAGCAAAGTTTGTGGGATCCGAAAATTATATTTTTGATTTAGGCATCGTTAGATGCACACTGCCAAATGTAGAACATATTTTCAAAAAATCTAAATAATTATAAAATACGTTACTTTTTTTCAGTTGGTAAAAATATCCCAGAACTACACAAGATATACTATTTAATTAGTTTACTATTTCACTATAACTATCATAACTTGGCTATATTATTCCAACTTCCTATTTAAATATATCTCTCACTATGTGCCATATATTCCAATGTCATTTCCCACTGAGATTTGTTATCTGTTATCATCAAATTGGCAAATAGTCTTTGGTTACAATCGAAAGTTTCACACATAGTCCAGAAAATTGTAAATTGTATTACGTGTATTCAACATTGATTGATTTGGTAATAGTCCTAATTCACAAATAATCTTGGCATAGATGTTGTGACTCTTTTTGAAGCACCACCTTCATTCAACATCACAAAGACTTGAGAGCGAGGTTTCATGAGGCTGTTGCAGTCAAAGACTTTCAGGCAGTCGTTTCCATAATCACAGACCACCACTTTTTCATCTGGTGTGACTGTAACTCCGTCAGGGTATCTGAGGCCATCATTATCACTGTCAATGCGGCGAATAAAGACACCATCTGGTCGGAACATCTGGACTCGGTTATTCCAGTCATCACAAACAATGATGTTGTCATGGGAATCAACAGCGACGCCAGTTGGGTATTTGAACTGGCCTTCCTCTTCGCCTGGTGCTTGGAATAGGTGTAGAAAGTTGCCTTCTTCATCAAAGATCTGGATCCTAGAATTCTCACGATCAGATATGATGATGTCATCTTTGCTATTGATAGCAACACAGATTGGGTTACGAAACTGCCCTTGTGCATGACCTTTGCATCCAATAGTATTGAGATGAACGCCATCACAGTCGAATATCGTCAGACAGTGTTCTTCGTAGTCAACCACATGGATGTCACCATAACTGTTGACTGCAACTCCCCAAGGCCACTTTAGTCGTTCACTACCAAATGTACGAATCATTCGCCCACTAATATCACTTATTATTATCTGCTTGTTGGCATAGTCGGAGATGACTACCTGGTCATTATCAGTAACAGCAACATCGAGTGGATCAAATTTCTTATCAAATCCGCAGAACCTGAAATCTCTTTTAAAATGGCCTAACTTATCAAATACTTGGATTCGGCTGTTTCCAGAATCGGCAACTACTATATCACCAGATTTTGATGACACTGATACTCCCCATGGCTCTTTGACATGCCCAATACCCTTTCCCCGCACCCCGAACTCTAAGCATACCTTCTTAGGGTGACTGGCTTCAATAGAAAATGGGCTTCCCTTAACTTGTTGACCAAAAACCGAGACAAATAGGTTGTAAGTGCCTTCTTTGTTTGTGCGGTATGTGATACTATAGGTGCCGTCTTTATTATCTGTGACCTTCGTCATAGCAACGCCTCCATCTGGTGATCTGATCTTAGAGGTGACAATAGCTCCACCCTGGTTAACATCTTTACCATTGCGATCTTTTGTAGTCAACACCAGCGTTTGTTGTTGATCAACAGTTGCTATCTGGGGGATTTCAGCATTGACTGTTGAGATTCCAGCGACTGCGTTGCCTCTAAGCAAGGTTCCGAACTCTTGTGTACGTACGCCATATATGAGGGCATCGTTTGGGGTGAATTGTATGCAGGCATTTTCTTCTGGTCGTGGATTGAGTTCCATCTTAATTAGGTCTTGCATCCTTTGCAGCGCTTGTTTCTTAACGGCAAGCAGTGCTAACTCATTGCCATATTTTAGCAAGTTTTCTGTAAACTCGCATCCACTATTAACATTTCCCAAACCGAGCATCAACCCATCTTGCTGGGCTTCCAATATTTTCTTTTTACCATTATAGGTATCTTCTAAGTCTTGTAGAAGAGTCTGTTCTTTCTGTTCAATCGTGGATACAAGGCTTCTTTTCTGCTCACGTATTCTTTCTTCGGCTGCCTCTTTTTCACTGTCGAGCTGTTGAAGGACGAATTTAACATTGTCCAGTGCACCCTCAAGTGTTGGAATTTTTTCTTGAGCATGATGAAGTAGCTTTTCCAATATGGGTCTCTGCTTTTCAACGGCGTCTCTGCAATATTGGTGTTTGTGCTCTGGTACCCTGTGCTCGATCACGGTGCATTTAAGACATATTGGAACATCGCATGTCTCACAGTAGAATTCTATCTCGTTGCATTTATGAATAGAGCAGTATACTGGGCGCAACATTTCAACTGGTGGCTCATGAGGTGAAGCCTGGTACTCTTCCATAGACAGTTGCCGGTGCAGTCGCGTTACTTTTAATCTACGGTGTGCATGCGAGCAGTCAGAACACAGAAACTCGGTACAGTCAGAACAGTATGTTACGGCTCCTTTTTCGCAGCCATGACATGGAACTGAACTGGCTGCCTTCCCGTTTTTTCTGGCCTCCAGAAAATCTATCATGTTGTTTATGAAGAAATTGTCTGGGAGTCCCATTATACCCTTTTCGGGAAGCGGGTACTCATTTCGGCATACTGGGCATATCAGTTTGCCGACATTTTTTCTCACCCATTGCCCCAGGCACACCTCGCAAAAGGTGTGAAGGCAGGGCAGGATTTTGGGTTTTCTCAGTCGCTCTATGCAGAAAGCACACTGTAGGAAATTCTGGTCAAGGTCTTCGGTTTTCACGGTGCTACAGCAAGCCATCTTGTTTCATCTATAAAAGAAATAAGTAATATATAATAATAAATAGTTGCATTTCAACGCATATGATTACATTTCTCTCTTGGTTGTAAATACATTCGTACCTTACACACAGGATATCCATGTGATCACGGTTATCTACAATATGTACTGAATACATAAACACACATTAGGGAAAAAATGAAGATACTTAAGTTGAATATTTTACAGCATGTAACTACTTAGACACTAGTGATAAAGTATGCTCTGCTGACCGAATGCGTTGCACATTTTGAAAAAAAACATCTGTTCTCAATGATTGGTCTTTTTTAAGACGCACGTGAAGACATGAAATACAGCGTATTGTGATCTATTCAAGTCTGGTTTTATTTTAGTTGTCGAGATATTTCTACTAACTCGAAATTACATACTGACAGTAATTATTTTGATAAACGCCTCATAGTGAGATGTGCACAGAAATAGATGAACACACGTGTCGTTTTTTTATTCACATCCGCATCACCGACTTGTAACTATAACATCGCAACTATGGGTCAAAACAATGAATCTCCCACGATAAAACGTACATACGATATCATGGTTGAACATAGAATACACAAGTATACATGTGCCTTTATTTGTAGATATATGCATTGTGTGGATGTGCAATGTGTTGCATGTGTTGCTTAATCCCTCGAGTCTCGCAATACGCACTTTGTGTTTACGGTAGCATTATAGTCAGGTATAATGTGAGATGTAGAGAATTGCTCCGGGCGACAACAGCAGTTGTGAAAAGTTCCATCACCAGTATAAATTCCATCATTTTAATATAATTACAACGATATTAAATACCAAGTCAGTCACACGATATCTGGTACGGTTATTTATATACCGTCACGGCGTCCTTTGTTGCGATCAGTCTGATTCTTTGATTGCATGATTAGTTTACAATATGACATTTGTCATGTAATATGCGCTATACGTTAGACCTGTTTCGTGTGCGATTGAAAAACAGTGTGCGCGTCAATAGCAACAGTCTAGTAGTTTATGTCTGTTACATCATGACAGTGAGATAGGGGTTCGAGAGAATTACGCCAAACTAACAACATCTTAATTAATGTGTATTTATATCGTGTTATACTTATATTTAGTTGTACTCGTTATGATTTTACAATAAGAATGATATGCCAGACACGAGTCTCTTAAAATTCTACATAGTAGACATTCTGAGATAACGAATTAATACCCGACTTCCGCCAAATAGCGATATTTGTCTGGAACTAAAACATGTTTAAGCCGACCTGTATGTCATTCAGTATACTGAAACGAAGATAATGTTACTGTGGTATTGATCCGTAAAATAGTTTGAAGTCCTGATCTTAAGTAGCCTGTTGGATTTTTGGTGATCGTTTTTTAGTTAATTTCATTTGAAGCGGGGTGATATGTCAAATATAAGTTGGACAGTTCCGGTATTTTGAGATCCCGCGCGCGCTCTGCATATTTAATGCATTCATGGCGTGGTTAATTCGTTGAATACTTTCAATCACGTCACTTTTAATCGACAAAGCGGTCACTTACTGCATGGATAAAACAATGTCCTACGTATTAGACTTACAAGTGATAATATTACGCGAGTCGTAAAATTAGAACATTATAACTAAATGGATTGTGGCAAATCCGTTGGAATGTCACGTCTGGTCTGGTCTGATGAAAACGAAAGTTCGTCAGTGTGTTTAATAAACACCATCCGGATTCTCGTTGGAACATTAAAATGCGTGCGAACTTTCCCCGTTATATTGCTTGCTTGATTAAATTACTGTCGAGAGTGAAATATTTTATCAGGGAAGACATTATAACCGCGTAGTTAACAACAATCATGTGATAACGCGTCGTATTTTTTTTTAAGTACTTCAATTTTTAGTAACTTAAAAAAACTCAATTCTGGAAGCTACAACTACTACAGAAATTCCTGTGTGTATTTTGCTGACACTATGAGATAATAAGTTAATTGCAACCGAATCTGTTCTGAACTGTTTGATGATGTTCGGCTATCGCAACAAACTTCTGATGTGGAAATTATTTGCATTTATTGCAGTGCAAGTATTACCCGATATGTCAAAGGATTTAAACAAAATACAAACAATGTACCTTTGGAGAGCATCGTTGAATAGATATTGGCAGCCATGTTGCAACCTAGACAAACGTTCCCCGTTGAACTAACAAGTAGACTCTCTCGGTCTGGCGGAGCTTCCTTGGTGACATGCGAAAGGTCTATTTTTGACGAGTT